TAATAAATGCCTGTCTCCCTTTCTTATGCTGTACTATATGTTTTTCTTTCTCACAGTTTCTTTTGTCTCTTTGATTTCTTGTTCTCAAACCATCTTAAATAGTCTTTAGCTTCTATCTTTAGGTTCTAGTGTGTAGCTTCTACCACAAAAATGGTTATACTGTAGTACAGATTGGTTGTATATATTTTTATTTTATTTAATCAAAAATAATTTATATGTATGTATTTAAATGTAATACATAAAAATAAATAAATTTATATTTATATACATGGACATTTAAATTAGTGCTGTCAAACGATTAATCGTGATTAATCGCATCCAAAATAAAAGTTTGTGTTTACATAATATATGCCTGTATACTTTGTATGTTTATTATGTATACATTAATGCATACATGTCCATGCATATATTTAAGAAAAATATGTTACCTTTATATATAAACTATTTATATTTATATATAATATAAATTATATATAAATATAATAGGGCTGGGACAATAAATCGATGCATTGCGAATCGAGAAATGATTCTGCATCGATTCTGAGATTTTATATTTGGATATTTAATATTTGGCGTATTTGGACTTTTGTGTGCGCATTTATATATATATATATATATATATATATATGTATATACTATGTATGTACACAGTACACACATATATTATGTAAACACAAACTTTTATTTTGGATGCGATTAATCGTGATTAAGCGTTTGACAGCACTAATTTAAATTAATTTATTTTATTTAATAAATGTCTTTAAGTTCTTAAATAAATGAATGCAAATGTATATTTATTGTTTTCTTTTTTATTGTGATAAAACAATAAATATACATTTGCATTCATTTACTGGTTTAATTATCTGTGCTTTAGCTGGTAGAAAGTTGTTTTTCATCTCTCTTAAAGCACCATTGCTACATCCATACACATTCAAATTGATGTCTGTGTTGTTTATCACAATGTTTTTGGAGTGTCTCATCTTGAGCTTTGCATTTTTATAAGACGGTGCAAAGTTAAAGGTGGGGTAAGTGATTTCTGGTAGCCAATGTTGATATTTCAATTCACCAAAATAAACAAGCCCCTACCCCAAAAGGGTCTCGCGCCCCTATTTTGATAGCTCCACCCCACACATATGTGCGCAACCGAGGCAACGATTAGCTCTGTGAAACAAAGCAAAACCAATGTTACAGCGTGTCTACACTGGACGCGAGTGGTGCAGCGCGACAAAATACTATAGAACTCATTATAATCAGTGATGCTGTCTGCACTGGATGCGGCGCGACACGACAAATCCCTGACAGTTACTGTTGCCGCGTTCTATTTATGACGTATTGACACAAATTTCAAATGATTTTCAATGGAAGCTTTGTCGTGTCCAGTGTAGACAGACTTTAGCTGTTGCGGCGGTGTAAACACGGTGTTACTCACCTATCGAGAAGAAACAAAGCAACCTCGGCGTTTTATTCCTTTGAAGAAACGTCCTGTACATAATAGGGCTGGTACAATAAATCGATGCATCGCGAATCGAGAAATGATTCTGCATCGATTCTGAGATTTTCCGAAGGCATCGCGATTCTCTCTTGAATCGATTCTGAGCTTAGTTTTCAACAGCAGATGGCACTGTGCTTTAGAAATAGCCGTATTCTGCTTGCTTCCAGTTCCTTACACACGCACCATTTGAACCTAAAATAATCATTCATAAAGTTCGAAAAGGTTGAAGCGAATTATGAGGATGTTCACAGTGGACTGTGTTTACGTTAATCTGGCATCATAAAGCATAAAAGCCGATGTGCAAGTACATTTCAAGCTGAACAATCGGTATGTTGTTAAAGGTGGGGTAAGTGATTTCTGGTAGCCAATGTTGATATTTCAATTCACCAAAATAAACAAGCCCCTACCCCAAAAGGGTCTCGCGCCCCTATTTTGATAGCTCCACCCCACACATATGTGCGCAACCGAGGCAACGATTAGCTCTGTGAAACAAAGCAAAACCAATGTTACAGCGTGTCTACACTGGACGCGAGTGGTGCAGCGCGACAAAATACTATAGAACTCATTATAATCAGTGATGCTGTCTGCACTGGATGCGGCGCGACACGACAAATCCCTGACAGTTACTGTTGCCGCGTTCTATTTATGACGTATTGACACAAATTTCAAATGATTTTCAACGGAAGCTTTGTCGTGTCCAGTGTAGACAGACTTTAGCTGTTGCGGCGGTGTAAACACGGTGTTACTCACCTATCGAGAAGAAACAAAGCAACCTCGGCGTCCGATCGCAGGCCTTCCGCTCCTTGAGTTCTCTCCAGCGCTGGAAAGCTAATCCGAAATTTACACGGTTCCTACTTATTGCTTTATCGTAAGCCTTCTTTTGTTCCGCAGACATTTTACTCTTTTGTTTTTTTATCCGCCATCTCTATCTTTCTGTCGTCGCTCGGCTCGACTAATGTCCGTCCTGTGCACTGAGCGCTCTCTCCTCCACATCATGAGTAGACACACCCCTTACTGCTGATTGGCTGCAAGTTTGTTTTGGTACTCGACCCGACTCAGTTTTCTAAAGCGTTTTTGAAAAAATACATACCCCACCTTTAAAGTTCATTTTGAGAGTGATATTCTGTTCCATTCTGTCTTTTGAAAATATGTATTACAAATCCGTATATTAAAAGCAGTACATTTTAGTTTAAACTTTTCTTTGTTTATAATCTATTTTTCAAGCATTCAGTTTTAAATGCAGGTCAAATATTTTGTGCCCTACATTATTCAAATGCATTTGTATCGTTACAATAGTATCTGCATTTAAAATCCCGTCTGCACTGACCTGTGAACTACTTTTCGCAGCAAAATAATGTAAACGTAAAAACACGCAGTCTGTGGGGTGCTTCATTCTCCGCCTCTTGACTAAGATGAATTTAGCATTGGGTTTTAGGAACTCGCTGAAGTATAAATCATGCCCCCCAAATTATTTTTTTTTAGTTCATGTTGAGGATGTGCTTCATGATTGTGAATTATTCTAAGCATCCATAAATGCTCATGGTAATTTAGAAAGAGCCTCAGAGAATCCACTTGTTTTCTAGTGTTTTCTTCCTTCGGTTCTTCCTGCTACATCTTATGGAAATCCTCTTTTCCTGCATATGCTGGTGGAATTTATTAGCAACCCACGCAACTCATTTTTTCACACACTGTGCAAAAGGTCAAGTCGACCAATCAGCTCCAGAGAAGAGAGTGCTGCACGCTGAATGAGTGTACTGGCCACTCTATACATTAGAGACAAACAAAGTCAACGTAAAAAGTTAAGAGAGAGAGCAAAAAACAACAAACACACACACACACACACACACACACAAACTGGTCTCCACGTGTAATTGTAGACATATTTTTAGATAATTGCCGTACAGGAGAGGTTGTGTAGAGGCCCTTATACAGAGATGGTTTGGATATGTTGTATGCTAATTACTTTGGACACGCCCTCCCTCATTTATATTTAACGCTGGTTCATTAACATTAGTTTGAACAAATGTATGTGTACTCACCAGTTTGTTTGTTTTTTTTCTCGTCAAACTTTTTCTGTGCACATGGAAGCCTGTTTCCACCACTGATTAAGATACAAAATAATAATAAAAAGGCAACTTTAGATTTAATTAACATGTAAACTCATAATTGTGAGATATATACTTGCATTTCTGAGGAAAAAAAAAATTGCAAGACTCTAAAATCGGACTTTTTTGCAATTTCTTTCTTTGAATTCTGAGTTTACATCTCGCAATTCTGTTTGTTTTTGTTTCCATCACAAAATTTAAAAAAAATGTGGCTTTATCTCACAATTCTGACGTTTTTCTCTCAATTGCGAGTTTATATCTCACAATTTAGACCTTTCTTTTCAAATTTGTCAGATTTATCAATTGCAAGTTATAATTCAGAGTTTGTATCTCACAATTCTGAGTTTGTCTCAATTGCGAGAAATACATCTGAATTGTAAAATGTAAACTCAGAATTGTGAATTGTGAGATATTAAAGTCACAATTGTTTATTTATTTTTATCTATTTATTTTTGTATTTTTTAAATCCTGTGGCAGAAACAATCTTCCATACTTTTCAATTTGTTCTTTAAAAAAAAATATGAATAAATAAATTGTGAGTGCAACTTACTTGAATTAACCAGAAACACTACATTTTTAGGTCGAGGTGTCAAAAAGAGTTAATCTCTTGGATTGATTTGGTCTGTTCAGGCACTCGTGACACTACACACTGAACGTGCTGATTCAAAGTATTACATTCAGCAAAGTAGACAAAAAATTAGCCATTTTCCACTAAACTTCACTTTTTTGGGGCAGGTAGCCTCATCTGAGCAAGGATGAGTTGAAATATATGCTCTCATGTGTGTGTGTTCACATTACGGGGGATTTTCATGTGCCCGAGGACTAGGCCAGATATAGAAAACACTTTGGTGACGGGTCTCTGTTGGCTTATGTAGGTTGACTCAGGAGCTGCTACAAGATGAGGTTTGTAGCAGCACACTTAAAATGTTCCTCACACAATGGTGAGATTTACATTTCATTCAAGGACAAGGCGAAGTTCGGTGGAGAGATGTATTACATTATTGTGTAAATGTAAAACAGCGCTAATAGTATGTGTGGGCTTTAGCATTTGTGATTGTACAACCTTATGCATCACTTCCATACTAATAAAGACACGTGTGTAGCAGCGTATTCTGACTAGGTTGTATGGATGTTTCCAGCTCTAAAATCTGATTGGATGAGTCACATTTGAAGCATATTAAAAAAACAGACATATGCAAATTTGTGACCCTACATGGTTTATATTGTATTTTTGTTTTATATATTATTATTGTTATTAAATATATGAATACATAAAACATATTAGTGTTCTGTATCATATTCCTGTTGGCACCACTCGTGAAATAATAAATCCTCTATATCTCATATATCACCTATCTAATCCTATTTCTTTAATATAATTGTTTCGTCATGTGTCTGTCTAGAACCTGATGATGATGAGCAGAAGGTGAAGACACAAAGGCCGCGATCAGCTGACCAGCCGGGTGTGTTTCAGGCCCAGACAGGTGAGTCCCATCTCCTTTCATTATTAAGTTGAATTGCATTTCAGAACCATGGACAGCTCTTTGATATTTTTCAAGAGAAAAAAAGTGTCTGAAAATAGCAACTCCTACAAGATATGTATGTATGTTATAAGTAAAAAAGAAAATACTCCAGTCTTCAGTGTTACATTTGCTGTTTAGTTATTATTAAACATTATTGGTGCTCAGTGCATAATAATGGTTCTTATTATCATCAGTGATGAAAACAATTTTTGCTGCTTAATATTTTTGTGGAAACCATAATACATTTTTGTCAAGATTCTTTGATGAATAGAAGTTCAAAAGAAGATCATTTTTACAAATAGGAATCTCTTGTAGCATTATAAATGTGTTTAGTGTCACTTGATGAAGTTATGGTGTCCTTGCTGAATTAAAGTATTAATTAAAAAAATATTAAGCATCAAAACTGGCTTATGCACCAAATCAGCATATTAGAATAAATCCTGAAGGACCATGCGACATTGAATGAATAAATTACACACACACACGCACACATTTTAATATTGAAATAATACATTTAAATATACATATGTGACCCTGGACCACAAAACCAGTTATAAGTAGCACGGGTAAATTTATAGCAATAGCCAACAATACATTGTATGAGGCAAAATTATAGATTTTCAATCATTAAAAATCATTAGGATATTACGTAAAGATCATGTTCCATGAAGATATTTTGTAAATTTCCTACCGTAAATATATCAAAACTTCATTTTTGATTAGTAATATGCATTGCTAAGTACGTAATTTGGACAACTTTAAAGGCAATTTTCTCAGTGTTTTGATTATTATTATTATTTTTTTTTTCACCCTCAGATTATCAAATAGTTGTATCTCGGCCAAATATTGTTTTATCCTAACAAACCATACATGAATGAAAAGCTTATTTATTAAGCTTATTTATGTTATGATATATAAACTCATTTTCAAAACAGTTTTGTGGTCCAGGGTCACATATTATATATAAAAAATGCACAACACTTTTTTAATTGTTACATTTTTGTTTTAAAACTGGGTCACACTTTATTTTAAGGTCCAGTTCTCACTATTAACTAATTATTAACTATGACTTTTGCCTCAATAAACTGCTAATTACTGCTTATTAACTGTTATTAAGGTAGTTGTTAAGTTTAGGTATTGGGTAGAATTAGGGATGTAGAATATTGTCATGCAGAATATGTAAGGGATAATCAACGGCTAGCCGTGCATTAAAGGATTTTAAATGCATGTTGTTAAGTTTAGGTATTGGGTAGAAATAGGGATGTAGAATATTGTCATGCAGAATATGTAAGGGATAATCAACGGCTAGCCGTGCATTAAAGGATTTTAAATGCATGACGTGGAGGCAAAGAACCGCCCGACGTGAAGTAAATCCTTTAATGTACGGCTAGCCGTTGATAATTCCGCTTATTCTATGGTCATTTGCCAAGTTATAGACAAGTTAAAACTAGTATTGCTCTTTGCAGCGCAATATTTGACCGAATGGGTAAAAATGACAGTTATTTTCGTCAGTTAGCTCTAGCATTCTGCCCGCTTCAAATCAGACACAGAGATGAAATAGTGCGGTAAGAGCACATTTATTTGAAAGAATTATAGCATGTATTTCAATTAATTATTGATTGAGAGGGAGAGAGAGATGACAGTTGTGTGTACCTGCGTGCTGCGTCTGCACGTCTCTCTCTACAAACAATTACTTCAGAAACAGCCATTTTACCATCGTTGCTGAGGAATATAATGTAGCGATCTAGTATCTAGGCTATTTTATTAATAAAAATCGCGGGGAAGCGTCTCTCTCTCTCTCTTAAACGGACTTGGAACTACCTGTGCATTAAATTGTTTTACTGCAGACCCGCCAGCCAATCAGAATCCAGTATTCAGACAGACCATGGAATAAATGCTTTATAAGTACTAATAAACAACCAATATGCTAGTAATATGCATGCTAATAAGCAACTTGTTACTAGTGAGAATCGGTCTCTATACTGAAATGTTCCCTAAAATTGTTTTAACAATTCAGAAATGGTAATAAAATAATATCTGTTGAAGTAATTGGCATTACACCTTTTCCCCTTTTGAGCCTCCTGTGATAGAAAACTTATGTGCATAAACTCCCATTGGCATCCCTGTCCCCATCAGCCCCCTAAACTCTATTCTCCACCCATCTGCTCCGTAAATAAGGCTAAGCTCTGACTCACCACATGCAAATGAAGATGTAATGCGATTACAAGACGTGCAATTAATTTGATTTGCCCATTCCCTTCGTGATGTCGCCTCTGTCCAAGGACACGGCTTTCAAAAATGACAAAAAATGACTAGGGAACTTCACGTGCCATATTCCCACCCGTCATGTTCAGCCCAAGCTGATGGGGTGACTCTGGCTGCCGCTGACCTTGCAACACCTTTTAAGTTGCTGAAGACATGGAATGGATTGTTGGAGGTTTTCCTGAATACTTAAAAAAAACATTCCTGGAAGAATTTACTGACAGTTGTAGGGTAACATAACCCTTCAGAACTGACATTGAAGTCCGTGGTTTGAGTCTGGGTCAAGAATTTAAAGATTTTTCTTTTCTCTCCATCTTGTGTTTTGTAGGTGACCCAGCAGCGGAGGAGTGGTCTCAGTGGAGCGTGTGTTCGCTGACATGTGGGCAGGGTTGGCAGGTTCGTTCTCGTTCATGTGTATCCTCTCCGTACGGGACCCTCTGCAGCGGCCCGCTGAGGGAAACCCGACTTTGCAACAACACTGCCACCTGCCCAGGTGAGCCGCAGCATCAAGCAGGTAGAGTACCTCCATGCTTTTGGATGCCCATCTACACATTCACACTTTCTCACACACTGCATGAGCAGGTCAAATATCATTAAACGTTAGTTGAATGTTTGCTTTTGCTTTGTAAGTAAACATTGGACAGTGCATGAGAAGAATCTGCAGCTATTAAATGATTTGGTTAGCATTATTTCTTTTGCATGGCACACACATTTACTCCCTCCACTGCATGCTTGAAGTACATGTGCATCACACACACTGCATTTTTGTTGAGTATCTATTGTGGAACTGCATACAATGGGCACTTTTGACACTCTTTGTACTGCATTGATATAAATCAAGCTGTTCAGTCTTTTTTGTCCATGTACTTGAGTATGTACACTTGAGTTTGGTGTGCATCAAGGTTGTGTGATTCAGGTGAGATCAGTTTCAATCTTATTTATTTTATTTTATTTTTTGCACGTCTGCACATTGGTTTTCACCAAAATGAGGATTGGCATGTTAAAAACACACTGTTGAATAGACATTTGCAGTCCTGGATGCTGATTGGTCAGTTCAGCATTCAAGAGGTGCTACAATCCACATTATACAACAGGGACTTTTCACTGTTTGTATCACTCAGCTTGTATGTGTTCGTTCCAGACAGGCTGCCTGTTAGTGTGTATGTTAGAGGTGGGGGATTCAGTGACTCTTCTTGCAGGTTACGTCGATATGCCTGTAGGTGACGACAAGTGACTGTCCTTGTGAGTGAGTCATTGAATTGTTCATTCAATCGATTTCTTCAATAACACTGATTCATTCCGGAACAAAACAAGACACTGGCCTCATGAGTAAAAGACAGATCAATGCTGTCTTTACGAGTGGGAATCTCTGGATGTTTTAATTAAATAACCATTGCAGTTGTTGTTAGCTGTAAGCTGTGAATGCTGACAATACAATTTAGCGTGCCCACATTATCTTTTCATTTAGCTGATTTAGGATATCTCTTATGTTGCGTTAATTCATTTGCTCAATGTACACTGCTGTTCAAACGTTTTTGTTGTTGTTGTTTTTTGTGTTTGTTTGTTCTATTCATCAAAAAAAGCATTTTTAAAAAGTATCTTGGTTTCCACAAAAATATTAAACAGCAAAACTGTTCTCAAAATTGATGATAATAACAAATGTTTCTTGAGCACAAAATCAACATATGATTCAAATAATAATTTCTGAAGGATCATGTGACACTGAAGACTGGAGTAATGGCTGCTGAAAAAAAAATCAGCTTTGCATCCCACAAATAAATTACATTTTAAAATATATTAAAATAGAAAATGGTTATTTTAAATTCCAATAATATCTCACAATTAGTTATTTATTTATGCTCAAATAAATGCAACCTTGGTGAGCATAAGGGACTTTCAAAAACATAAAAATCTTACTGAACTCAAACTTTTGAACAGTGGTGTACAGTACATGTCATAGACTTGTATATGTACTACAACTAAACTATATTAAACACATAGCACAACAGGTCATATCGTATGGCTTGAAACATTTCCCAATCCACAAACCTGTTTGGATCTGATCATTCCCTCTTCTTTTTTCTGCATTTGTATTGTTTTGGAGGTGGAAGGAGATTATTTAATACATGTCTATAGTTAAGACCCCTATCAGCCCAAATAATTTCACCAGGGACTTTTTGAATGATGTTCCTGCTTTGTCTTTAAACGCTGAGTAGTAGATGCAAATCTTCATGCTTACAAGGCATATATAGATTGCCCATTGTTGCATATCATCAGCTGTGTAAGTCCTTCTGTGTGTTAATTCTATATTTATGTAAAACAGGATAACTCAATTTACCTCTCACTTGTGCATTCAGCCTGAGTTCTGATATTCAACGTCTGGGCTTTGATGAGATGGTTGCCATGTTCAGCACTGGGCATTTTTCAGTCTCTCCAAGAGTGCAGATCAGCGCTTTAGGATGTGATTTAAGGACAGCGGCAGATGATCTCAGCCGAGTGAGCAAGACTGAAGAGAATCAAAGTGAAGGGTTTCTCCTGGAAATATCTGCTTGCCGAGGATTGAATCTGAACAGGGATCGATGAAGCTCAGATATGAGCGACATTACGTTTAGACATGCAAACTTTTGGAATGCATAGATTTTCGATGCTATAGGACAGAAAAGCTGATTATAGAGAACTAGGCTATGTGTCAATAAAAAGGTAAACAAGATGGCCAGAAATAAGAATGCGAGATCCTCGCTGTTGACTTTTTTGAGCATTTTATACTATTTATGCTGACAACATAAGCAGGCAGGCAATATTTACTAATGGGACACACAATTTGGCAGAGAAAGACAATTTGAACCGGAGCAGAGCCGCATGTGTGTGCGTGCATGTGTTCATAGATTACTTTCACTCCACAGGAAGTGTTTAACAGGGACTGAGTGTCTTTGAGATTAGCCTGAGCTAGTGTAGCTTCAGCATAGTTTAATGCTCAATGGAAGTCCCTTGGTCCTTCTTTTGGCTTTCGTTCAAACAGAACTTAATTGATTTGCGAAAGCAATTATGGCCAGGTTTATTTAGTTTGGAGGAGAGTTATTATTCAAAATTGATCAAGCACAGCCTTCAAATGAAATGGGTACTTTTAAAATAACAGCAATTCTGGCTGCAGTCTTAAATTGCCCTCTGTTTGCTCATTAGCTAATCCCAATCTAGAGCTCAGACTAATTTGTGGACACAAGCCATCGATAGCTGTTTCCATCAGAATTAACACTGCGAATTCTTGAATTATGTTCTCTTTTGCTTTCTCAGGAATGGTATGGTATGGTATGTTTTACCATGTAAGCTTTAAGATTGGTTTGTTTTTCATAACTGCATTTCTAGGTAATACATTGTTTCATGTATCCACACATCTCAAAAGAGGAAAATAAGAAAAACAGAGGTCAGCTGTCATACTTTTGGAGAAAAAAATTGCATTTTATGGAATGCAGTTTACCTTTTGTATAGCGCAAAATGTTTGTCAGTTGTCACAATGGAAGCTGTCAGTAAGCAGTCTATTTAGGCTTTTCAGTCAAATTGAAACACAACAAAATAAATTAATGATAAAGGCAATAGAATAAATGTGACAAAATAATTTTTCAAGCAAATTTAAACGTGACAACCTCGACCTGAAAAATACCCTTGTTTTAAGATCATAGTTCACGTCTCATTAAAAATCTACCTTCAGAACATGGTTGATCCTTGTTTGAATGATATTAGTTTGACTATTTGTTACCCAACAACTAAAACAAAATAAATGGTATTACATTTTTTGTTCGGAGGACTGAATTCACAAAAAATAACTCAAATGATTAAATGTTTAACACATACAAAACCACTGCTACGGAAAATCCTGGACTTTTACCTCAAAATTACTATATATATATATATATATATATATCAGGCATGACAACTAGCCCTAATCTCCTCTGTAACGAACATGAAAGAATGTGGTTTTCTTCTCCAAACAAAGGCAAAGATATCAGTCAAAAGGTTTCCATGGCAAGATCACAAGTCATCTGCAATGCTAAACCTTGGTCCCAATGAAACCCAAAATCTAAATTAATCTTTTCATGATAGCCTTAAGAAATTCCTCTCAGTGTGTTTGAGGATGTGTCTAGCGCTTGCTGCATATCATTGTGTCTGGGCAGCAGAGCAGAGCAGTGCTAGGCCAAACTCAATCTGCTCAACTTTAATGAAGGAACACTATTCAAAGCTTACAGCTCTATTGATAAATGAAATCTGATGCAATTATCTCAGACAGGTAAAATGACTCATGAGACCTAGAGTCAAATGAGAAAACCATGTTTTAAGTAAACTTCTGGTGGATGTATTTTTTTTTTTAATTATTATTGTATTTTATTTTTTACTGCCAGTTTTGATTGTTGTTTTGGCTGTCAAACATTTTGTGGTGTCTTCAGAGCCTAGTCATGTCCTTTGTGAAATTTAATAGAATACTCTAATAAATAAAGCAGCATATTAATGCTGTTTGTGCAGGATTATAGGTGATGTCGTTTCTCACTTGGGAACACAGCTCTAGTTCAAATGCAACAATTACCGTATTGTTCATTATGATGGGGCTTTGGTGCTTGACAATATACCCAGTATCTCAGCATCTTTTTCTATTGGTAATTTAATGACCTTACATTTTAACATTTTAAACCTTTTTTTTTGCATACATTTATTCAATTGCAATTACTGTTTGTCATTATGTAGATGTTAAATTTCAAGTTTACAACTGGCATGTCTCTTATAATAGGGCAAAATGCAACTACCAATATAATATATTATAATAGAATATATTTAGTGTAGTAAAATAAATAGGCTTATCAACTTCTAAAAAGGAGGAGAAAATGCTTTTGTTGTTGACGCCAAAGGCTGGGCATCCAATCAACTCTACAGCTTTTTGCCATAAATTCATCTGTCACTTAGTAGAAGCAGCCAAATTAGGCAGAAGCCAACATGGACAGGTTGAATGACATGAGGGTGAAAATTAAATAATAATAATAATAATAATAATAAATGGATGTATGTGTGTATATATTTTTATTAAACACATATTTTTATTTTTTATTATTATTTCGCATATTGTTTGGGAATATTAATATATTATAATATATGCTTTTAATGACATGTCTGTGTGCTCCTTTCGTTTATTGAGTCAACACGTGTAGTGCAATATCAAATCTGGTTCCAGAAGAAAAAACAATTGAAAGCACCGTTTCAATGAATCTCAGGGCAAAAGGGGCAATTTCATCTATTAGCCAACAGGTGGTGCTATGCGTTTGTTTTTGCCCTTTAAATTTAGTGATGCATCAGACTACGGAGATTCAAGGATAGCTCATTCATCACAGCTTTTTAAGGGGTAACTGCATCAGTTATAACTGCAGTCGCTGTTGGTCTTAACTGATATAAATAATATTTACGACATGTAAACAACACTAAGCAATGCCTGCAGCCTGCGGAGCCACAGAACAGAGTTTGCTGGTGTTCTAG